GGCCGAGTGCAAGTAGAAGAAGAGTAACTTGATCACTGAAGCTTATAATTCACATCTCAGAAAGTGAGAGCTGGTAGACACTGGTTGTCTTTCTACATTGTCACCATCTGACTAGGGCAGATGTATTAAGACAGCTCATGGATTACTTCAGCTCAGTGGCACTCATACCCTAAGTATCAGCCTTCCTTCCTCATTCGTTCTGTTTCAATCATCTGATAATTCAAGAGGTATTGTAATATACTAAAGTCTCTTCTCATGATACACAAAAAGAATGTGAAAAGAAAACTGAACTTTTAATGGAAAGGGATAAGAAATGAACGATAGAAGAGTGAGCCGACTGTAAAAAAAAATTAAAATTCCAGTATGTTAGTAAATTTTTAAAATAGTTTCTTTGACAGGCATTTCCTTGCTTATTAAGTTCTAGTAAACTTTGGTATTTAACACTATAATATTTGAATTTTAAAAGGGTTATATTCAAATTGTGAATTCCATGGTGCCATTAGTCAGGTGAGTGGAACATATTTTCAAATTCTTAATATCAGATGTGTAAGATAAATGTGAACATCTTATATGGCTTTTCACAATGTTGCTCTTTTTTATTAAAAATCAAATTAGTGTAAGGGAGGGGGCAGGGATAAGGAGGAAGAAATGACCCAAACATTGTATGCACATATGAATAAAAAAAAATCAAATTAGTTATTGTAAAAGGCTAATGAAATATTTTATAAAAGTGTTGTTTGATCTGTTTCCATTACACTATTTCTCAGCTTCTTAAAATTAAAGTGGTATTTATTAGAGAAAATAATTGTAAGTATTTTAACAGTATAAGGTTTTCAAACGACTAGTAGTAAAACAGAAGTTAAAAACAGAAGTTAAAAATCTCATGCTCCTCCCCAAACCCTTACAGGAGCAAGACTGAGACAGATTGAATAACTCCTCCAAATCAGTATATTTTGTTAGTGCAGAAAAGACCAGGAATGAGACCTAGATATCCAAATATTCAATATGTTTATATACAAATAAATAGTAAAAATACTTAAGCATAATGTTTAGATAAATAATGTTCTCCTAGAAAAAGTCACTTGAGAATATCCTTATAAAATTTAGAGAAATGTAATTAAATATTTGTGCATGACTTATTGACAAGTAAACCGAGACTTGAATAAATTGTATATTAGCAGCATTTTAATAAACAAAAAATAAAATAAAGTCTTAGAGTTCTTTTTGGAAATTTCACATTATTCTTAGAAGCAAATAAATAAATAAATGCATTATTAATCACATCCTTTATTAATTTTCTGTTTGGGAAAAAATGTCTTTAAAATTTAAAATGCAAGTGATATTTCCATTTGTTTTCATTCCCTATGAGTGAGTAGTAAAAGATATCATGACTGGAATATCCTGTTAATTATATCTTATGCATTAACTATGTACATCTTTACGCATATTCCTAGGATGTAAGTTGATAGTGCAAGGAAAGAACAAGCGTTTCCCATGATCCACCTGTTATTTTAATAGTGCTACTCAGTTGGCCCTGCCAAGGTCTGTTGTGAACAGAGAGTAACTTTGTATCATCAGTGCAGTTAACAACATATCTCATATTGTCTTGGTGGATGACATGGAGAGTTAGGAGTGTTATGGTTATCTGAATTAGGTGGGTTCATAATGAAAATATCAATCACACTGAAAGAATATGGATTATGACTTGTTAATATGCAAATACTGATCTGAACAGAAGTTATACCACTGATTCTGTGCATAGTCTCACTGTATCTAGAATGTTAGCCAACTGGGTTGCAGACTTAAATGGCAAATATTCCAAACTTGCAGAAATGATTATGGTAGACAACAGAACCAATATTTCAATTGCTTGGAATTGCACTGGTAAGCCAAAAACCAATATGAAATTTCACAGGATAACTGAAAAGCTGAGCAAGCACCTTTAATCAACTCATATTCACAGAATGGAAATGAAGCTTACCACATTCTATATTTAAATCACCTAGATCTTTAGTAAACCACAAATATAACACAGGTTATTAATCCAAGGCAATTACCACAAAAGCTAATATAACTTGATGGTTTTAAATAAAATTCTAGATAATGCAATTTTAATTAAAGATATCTTGAGGGCCGAGCAAGATAACTAAGGAAGCAAAGTAAACGCGGATGAGGTCACGACAAATGATGAGATTATAGTGATGGCAAAACTTAGAAGCTTTTTGCCTTTTTCTTTATTTATTTTTGTCTTTTATTGTTTTTGAGTTTTTATGACTTGATCATGATAGGTAGTACAGGCTGTCCCTGAAATCACAATGATCCTGCCTAGGTCTCCTGAGTGCTGGGATTACAGACATGTACCACAATACCTCCAAAAATTTTTATTTATTCATTTGGAAACATTGTGCTGCCAGAAAAACACAGTGACCAGGTTGAAGTTCTAAAATCTGAATTTTCAGATTTAGACCAACATCCTCTATAAGTAGATCAAATTACTCTATATTTCTAGGCTCCAGCTATAAAGATAACAAGAACAAATTTATATTCCAAACATATATGTGTTTACACCACAACCATGTATATAAAAACATTAAAAGAATGATAGAATTTAGCATTCTGAGCTGAGAGATCAGGAAATTTCAGAGTCATCTATTTATAAAATTATATTTGATATATCCATCATATGAAAAAGAAAATATTACATAAGTCATAAAACAGGCAAGTTTTAATTTTATGAAGACTTCTCAAAAATAATAACAAAAACTATCAAAATGGGGCTGAAGGTTAAGTGATCAAAGTTAAAATTCATGAGTCATGTTCAAGAATAGTTTGAATGGTTATCTCAGTAATGTTGGGAGCAATTTATAATTCAACCCCTTGTTATCTTGTGTAGAGATAGCAAGGCCATCTGAGTTCATCACACAGCAGAAGGAACTTCTTGCAATGTGAAGGCTAGTCTCTAAAACACATTAACTGATCATCTTCTAATTGAGCGACTTCTATGTAGCAATAGGGCATTTCAAGTGTATTAGACTCTGTGTGAGAATGTGTATATGCTCAAACAATTGAAAAGTATATGTAATTATGGGAAAATTTGGTTTGTTGATTAGCTGTCTTAATTTTAAAGGCTGTGAAATTTATTCTTGTTACAAACGAAAAAATTTCCAGGCCATCCAAGTTTTTATGCAATAGGCCTCTGCTAGGCCATTGTCCTGTGTGCTATAATCAGTTACTCTTAACCTTAGCAACTACCAGCACAGCCTCACCCTTAAGCTCCAGAGCAGTGGCTCAATACTCAGGCATTACTAGAATAGAAAGACAGGAGCTGAATAGGCGGACTAAATTTCTTCTAATAATCTTATAAACACTTGATTTAAAAAAAAAGGAAAAACAGGACTGGATCTGGTTTTTGAAATAAGCAAATGAACAAAAAAAAGCCTTGGAACATATTGTGAAAAGACAAACAAGTGTCATGTCAAACTGCATCCAGGAGAATAATACCCATACACATTAGGTATGATGGACCTTTCATTTATTATTATCCATCACTGGTAACTCAAAGACCACAGCAATTTTTCTTACACTCAACTACCATTTTAGATACCCACACATGGAAAGTGGATGTGT